GTGCAATAAGTTAGACTTGAGTTCGAACTCGTCGGTCTTGTCTGGGGCTGCCCTTGGATATTGAATGCATAGAGGCATGGCATTATCCAATCCGGAAGTGGAAAGCTCCTTGATTGTTCGATTGTCGGCTGCCATAGCTTGTTCTTCCTCAAAAATCTGAGTCGTGGCCTCTTCTCCCACTTGTACTTCATCTTCTTCAAGATCTGGTGCAGGATGAGGTGGTTGGGGCTCTTGTTGATTCCTCTTCCTTCTCAAGGTTCGCTTGAAATCGTCGTCAAAGTCTAAGATATTCTTACGAACCGGTTGAGAACTCTGAGTCATAAACTAGTACCTAAAACCAAGAAAACAAACAAGTCAGCAACTAAAACCAAAAACACACGAAAATAAACAAAAAGAAATAACAAGGGATTAGCAAAATTTGCTAATCCCCGGCAACGACGCCAAAATTTGATGCGAAAATTCACTTATCACACAAATTAAACCCTATTTTGACAATTGTAGTATATAAGTCAGTAGGGATCGTTCTTAAACCGGGGATTAGGAGGGATTGCTAAACACTTTAAACTGACTCAAATAGATAAAACTAACCTTTAAAACACTTAACTCAACTTAAAAGACTCAAAACAAGTTCACAAGACTCAAAATAAGCTAAAAACATTCAAAACTACCTAAAAACACAAACTGGACAGATTTGACTCTAAACACAAATTTGGACGAAATTTGGTTCTAACTTGACTCAAAACTCTTGAAAACACAATCTAAAACATATTCTAACTAGTTAGACACTCTAAAATAAATGGGGATTTGGTTTTGGACGACAATAAAACAAACAAAGCGAGAAATTAAACTAGGCAGATTTGCACGAAATTGGTGGAATTAAGTATATGGTGGGCTAGCTAGGAGGTCTTTCTCCACACATGACATACTTACATACAAAACAATCTCCAGTTGCTTATTCAATGAATCATGAACCTCAACACCCCAAGTTAATTAGGTCCGCTTAAATTAACTCTTAGATTTTCCTTAAGTCATTGAATTGAATGGAATTAGCGCATTGCAATCAAATTATTCATCAAAAGTTCTCTACATGAAAGCACATAATAGAGAATCAATCAAAGATCGTTAAACTCTATGAAAATCATAAGTGTTGACGAGGCATTCGTAACTATGAAAGCGCATGATACTTATGCCAATAATTTACTTAACATGATTGTGACTAACAACCTTTACTACTTATGAATATAAGTTCCCAACAATTAGGTGAAGTTTCCCTATATCCTAGCATCAGATTTATGTATGCAAATTAAGTGTGCACTCTCAATACATACACATAAACAAGTTTTAATTCAACTAGATAAGTAAATTGAATTCACAATTCATGAAATCACAACTGGAAGTAATCAAATTATAATGCAAATATAGCCATGGTTTTGAAATTCCCCCTAGCCAAAAGGGGATTAGTTCCTCGTACTCGCAAAGCAAAGATTCTTGAAATTAAACATTGAAAAACACAAGAAAGATTACACCTAAAACGTTCCAGCAATTCCAAGTTGAATGGCATGCACGGCTAGGGCTTCCCTTCTTCTTCCTTGCTGCGGCACAAGATGTGGGTGATGGTTTTGGGGGTTTTGAATGGTGTGTTCTTGTTTAGGATGATGAATAATGGCTGATTATGGTGGTAGAGTGCGGCAGGTTATGTATGGAAGTGTATGGAGTGGATGAAGGATAAAGAATGGAGGCTAGGGGTTCTGGCAATAAGTTTCTGAATAGCATAAGGGGGTGATACGAACTTGTGGCTGAAAATATGTTTATATAGTCCTAGGGTTAATTAGATTAGGGTTACACGTAGTAGATTTATTGGATTAGGGCCTAGGGTTCGGTAATAAGTGATTAAATCCACTTAGGAGGGGGTTTGGCCCAATTAGTTTCGTAAAAGGATTTGTGTAAGCCAAATCCACAAGGAATGAAGCCCTAAAAATCAGAATCAATCAGGGATAGGGCCTAGAGAGTGCGGAACATATTGGAGGGAATGAGGGAATGGCTTGCAAGGCAAGGCAAAGCCTTCTAGAAGGAAATAGGCGCCACCTTTGTAGGGTTTCTAGAAATAATGTGTTTTGTGGCTGATTTGGGACTTCTAGAAGAGAATGCTTCTAGAAATAGGTTCTAGAAATATCTATTTAGGTCCCCTTGCAACTAGGATTAAGGCATGATAAGGTTAGGATAGGATAAGATAACGTTTTGGATAATGTTGGATAAGGTTGGATAAGGTTTGGATAATGTTTCCTCTTTTGAGCTAATTCCTTATCCACTTTGTCTTGAGTTTAGTTCCTTATTCACTTTGTCTTGAGTTTAATTCCTTATCCACTTTGTCTTGAGTTTAGTTCCTTCATCTTCTCATTAGATTTCTAGCCTTTTGAACTCCAAATTTGTCCATCCATGTTGGCCCATATACAAGTTATCCACTTAGTGCCCAAAACTGCTCCGAAATGCACCAAAATGCACTTTCTTGGTACTTTAACCTTTTGGACCTACAAACACACGAAAATGAGTTGAAATACGACATTAACTAAGAAATAATAGCACAAATGCACAAGAATAAGCTAGCTAAGTCTCCTAAATATGCTCCTATCAAATCCCAAACCCATTTTTAAAATCAAAATCCCGAAACGTATTTCATATCAGAATCCCTTATTTTAATTCAAAATCAAAATCAATATTTCAAAATTCCAATCCCCAATTTCAGAATCCTGCATCGAATTCGAAATCAAAGTTGACAAATGAAGGTGCAATTTCTTACCTTGTGCAATGCAACTGTCAGAGGAGAAAAATAGAAAGTCGAACGACAGATTGCCACTCAACTCGAGCGAAACTGGAACCAAACTCGAGCGAAACTGGAACCAAACTCGAGCGAGAGAGAGAAGGACATACAGAACTAACCAACGTTTCATATAGAACTAAAATTAAAATTAAAATCATACCTATTTAATTCCGTTCGGTCATATAGAACCAACGAACGTTTCATACCAATACTCATACTTAATGTTTCAGTTTTAGTTCGATTTCCGGTACCAGATTTTTTGGTATTTTTGGTAATTTTGGTTTAGTATTTTTTCAATGAAGGACATGAGAGAACACGGTCAAAGACAGATGGAGAGGTTATTTTCATAATCTTTTCAATGAAGGACATGAAATGAGTACTTCCTTGGGAGAGTTAAGTAACTCAAAAAGTGTAGAAACTACTCCTTTTACCACCGAATTGGGAAGAAGGAAGTGGTTGTAGCATTGAAAAAGATGAAGCATAGAAAAGCAGTGGGCCCATATGATACACCGATCGAAGTGTAGAAAGTCTTGGGAGAGACGGGTATATCATGGCTCACAGACTTTTTCAATAGGATTTTGGAAATGAAACAAATGCCAAATGAGTGGCGTAAGTGCACTTAGGTGCCTATTTACAAGAATAAGGGCAACATACAAAATTGCATGAACTATAGGGGTATTAAGTTAATGAGTCACACAATGAAGCTTTGAAAGAGAGTAATTGAGTATAGATTGAGGCAAGAGACACGGGTCTCAGACAACCAATTCAGGTTCATGCCAAGGCGCTCAACTATGAGGCAATCTATCTCTTACGAAGATTGATGGAATAATATAGAAATATGAAAAAGGATTTGCACATGGCCTTTATAGATTTGGAAAAAGTGTATAGTAGGATTCCAAGAGACATTCTTTGGAGGATTTTAGAAAAAAAAAGAGTACGAGTAGCATATATCCAAGCTATAAAGGATATGTATGATGGAGTAAGGACTGTCGCAAGAACTCATGAAGAACAAACCAAAAGCTTTCCCATAACTGTAGGGTTACATCAAGGCTCATCTTTGAGTCCTTACAGTTTTGCATTGGTAATGAATGAGTTAACGGGACATATTCAACATGATATTCCTTGGTGTACGCTTTTCGTAGACTATATAGTGTTGATAGATGAAACTCAAGAATGAGTAAATGCGAAGCTTAACCTTTGGAGAGAAGTGTTGGAATCTAAAGGTCTTCGCTTAAGTCGATCAAGACAGAGTATATGGAGTGCAAATGAAGGCTCAAATGAGTTAGGTGTGAGGATTGAAGATTAGGAAGTACCAAAGAGCAACAACTTTCGCTACTTAGGATCTATCTTGCAAAAGAACGGAGAGTTGGATGAAGACCTCAACCATAGAATACAAGTTGGATGGATAAAGTGGAAGAGTGCATCTGGCGTGTTGTGTGACCGTCGTATGCCAATGAAGCTCAAAGGAAAATTTTATAAGACATCAATAAGGCCAACAATGCTTTATGGCACGGAATGTTGGGCAGTGAAGCATCAACACGTACACAAAATGGGTGTAGCGGATATGAGAATGCTTCATTGGATGTGTAGGCACACGAGAAAGGAAAATATTAGGAATGAGGATATCCAAAGTAAAGTATGAGTAGCTGAAATTGAAGGAAAGATGAGAGAAAATCGGTTACGGTGGTTTGGAAGAAGTCCTACTGAAGCTCCGGTTAAAAGATGTGATTACGGGATAGAGGTTTAGGGCGAAGTGGTAGAAGAAGATCTAGAAAGACTTTGGAAGAGACTCTAAGAAAAAAACTTAGATACTTGGATCTAACGTGACACAAAACCTGAGCGCAATGACGTTCTATGATTCATATAGCCAACCCCACTTAGTGAAAAATGTTTTGTTGTTGTTTGGTTCAATATTTTTTCGGTTCAATTTCTGTATAGTTTTGGTATTTGATTTTTAAGATATTTTATTCCATCCGTACACGTGCAAGTAAAAGTAATAAGCCGAAAGACACAAAGCAAAGCGTTTCTCAAAAAAAAAAAAAAAAAAAAAAAAAGAAAAAAGACAGAGACATGAAGTAAAGCGAGTCACGAAAGTGGCATTTATGTAAATGAACGGCAAGAAGAGGACTATTACCGTAAATGCAATCTTATATATATATATATTTTGTCTGCCGTGCTGTGTTGGTACTGTCTGCTCTCCTCTGCTTTCCCTCTCACCAAAGCTCTCAACTTTTCTGGGTTTTTTTTTTAATTTTTACTTTTAACTATTTTCGTTGTATTTTATTTATCTTGACAATTATAAAGGTGGAGGATCTGAGACGAGTCTTTATCTCATGGAGGATCGAAAGGAGGTGGTTCTCTTCTTCTTCTCTCTCCTATTCGTTGTTTGGTTTCTCGGAAAAAATAAACTTGTGGGAAGAGTGTAGGAAAATTTGGGCGTGTGTTTATGAGTGCATGTTTGAGTTCGTTTTTCTTGCAGAAGGAGAAAGAAAGCAAAACACAATTAGCTAATTTTCTTTGCGTATGCAAATAGCTCTACTCTGGATTCAGAAACATAGTATGTTTTGTTTTCTTCCTGCGTTTTCTGGGTAACCAAACAGAGCATAAACATTTTTTGGGCTTTTATTTGTTGCTGCCAGGGGATTGGGGTTGGTTGTGAAATCTGTTTAATTTCTTTATTGGCTTGAAATTGGAGAGAAAATTAATTAGATCCATGAATATGGTTTGAATTAATTATTGGTCCATTTTCCTTGTCCTTGTTTGTCTTAATTCTGATCAGAAAAACTTGGGTGTTGAATTGGTTTTGATGTATCAAGAAACAGTCAAAGTTATTACCTGTTTTATATAATTTTGGTTTTTTTATTTTTTATTTATTTTTATTTTTAATTTCAATGCTTGTCACAATCAGCTTTAGAGCCCTCCTGCTGTATACAATTTGACAATCTTTGGGGATGAATGAATTTTGGAATTGCGAGTGGAAAATCAGGAATTTGTTTTCAAAGTTTGAATCTTTACCCAAGTTACTTTTTTTTAATTGTCATATCTATCGTGTACAGTATCCTACTTTTTAAAGATTTTTCTCGTGTCATATCGTATCACGGTATCCATAGACCACATCCTATTAACCAAAATCTTATAAAGTCCGCCGTCCGTTGGCTTGGTCTTCCCCAAACTCTTTCTTACAATTCACTTCAATAAATCCATAGGAGTGATTGCATGAGATTAAAATGGCTAATTTTTAATGTGTATTTATTTCATGAATCGTGTCTCTTCTCTGTATCATCTGGGTGTGATTGAATTTTTTGTATCATGTTTCCCTCCACCAACAGAGACTTTAATTGTGGTTTTTTGAAGTCACTTTTAGTCTTACCTATGAGTGGATGGTGAGCAGTGCCGCCATATTAATTATCGTTGTTGGATAATCTATCTAGCTACACAAATCTCAAAATCTGAACTCGTCCAACGTCAGTCAATTAACTTGTTTGTTTGTTTGTTGAATGCAGAAAAATGCGCCATGGTTGTCAGTGCCGCAGTTCGGGGACTGGGATCAGAAGGGGCAAGTGCCAGACTATTCTCTTGATTTCTCAAAAATAAGGGAAATGAGGAAGCAAAACAAGAGAGATGTTTCCAGAGCCAGTCTTGGAAATGAAGAAGAACTCGTTGCCTCAAACACTGCTAATGTGGGTGCTGTTCACAATGAACCCCATTACCAGCAGACCTCCCACTCTCCAACTGTATGACTCCTTTCCCTTTTCTTTCAAATTTATTTTTTTTATTTTTGCTTGGTATTAAACATGCAATTATTGAATATACAACTACATATACAAGTAGTAGCAGGAGTAGTTGGTGTACTTATAAATGAAGCTTTATGAATTATGAGCATGTGGTAGCACTGGCACTTGAAGGATGGGTGGGGGTTGGGAATGGACTACCCTTTTATAGGTGCTATCTAATGTAGTATTGACATGTAATTTACAGTTTTTCTTCAAGACTACGTCGCAATAAGTGGTTCGGGAAATGAATGACTGAGATTGAAAATAAAAGATGTAAAGTAGTTGTAAAATCAAATCTAATGAATGAGTGCTACGTAGCAATGAATCCACACCCTTAAGGGACTTTTGATGCACTTATTTTAACATAATTCAATAAGCCTAATTCTAATTGCCGACTTTAGTTAGGTTGAACAATGACCATTGAATTGATGCATCTGTTTTCATGAATAGTTTTTGGCTTTGTGGTTATTATATTTAAAGAAAAAAAATCACCTGATTTGGTCAAGGAGGTTCATTCTGATCGTTGTTGATGATTCATGATCACTTTTAAAAATAATTTTCATTTTCTTCCAAATTTGGAAGATGTGGCACAAAACCGAGTGCAATGGTGTTCTAGGTTTCATACAGCGACCCCACTTAGAGGGATGGCTATGTTGTTGCTGTAAGCTTCATCCAAATTTCATACCTTTAAAAGATTGTTTGCCCCCTGAGGAGTACATAGGATGGATTAAAATTCTTTTTTCCTGGGAGTTTAATACAGGGTAGGAGTCATCGAAGATATAATAAAAACGCAAAATTCGTTGTGTTTTTGTGTGTGAGGGTCGCACGGTCACATGGTCTGAGACAGTTGCAGAAGAAAGCATTTTTTGTTTGATATACAGAAAATTCCTGGGAAAATCCCATTAAATGGAGATTGTGCCAACTTTACTTTTAAATGGCAGAAGGAACTCAGATAGTTGCACATAGAGAAATAATATAGAATGTTCTTAGTAAATGTATTAAGGATACATACATTTCATCCTAAAAGGCTAATGGTTGCACATGCATGAGATGAGGTGCTCTAATGCTCTAGGTCTGGGCCATAAAAATAATATTTCTTTTTTATTAAAAAGAAGGAAGATATTCTGTCTCTGTGTGTGTTAGAAAAACAATTGAATGAGTGATCCTAGATACTTACACGCAAGTCCAAGTGGTGCATGTGCACCGGCCATTTTGATTTTAATTTTGTTGGTGTGTGTTTGGACTTTGGAGGGGAGAACACAAGATGATATGCATCATCTGATCTATTGGATCATTATCCCAATGGTATTGTTTGTTATGGTATTCATATCGTTTTCAATCGTTTTTCTTTTTCATACATAGATATATTCGAACCTAAGATCTCTCACTTACAAGTGAAAGAGGAATACTACTAGAACGTAGTACTAAGTGGCCGATCATTTATATAAATAAAGAAAAGAAAACTGATAAAGTAATTAGTATGGATCCAACTTTTATAAGCCGGGCCCTAGTGAGTAGTGGTGGTGAAAGGAAAGGATTTGACTCAGCTACTTGGTAATCAAGTGCCCTTTTCACTTACTTTGAATTTGAAACTTTCTTTTTAGAGGGATATATATCTTTACACGGGAAAGGATTATAAATTGTGCTGCTGCTTATTGTTGACAACTGCAATCTTTAATTTGGGTTTTATTAACGTAATTGTGTTTTTATACTTGTATTTTGCCAACAGTCTCGACGGAGCATTTTCAGCTACTTCAACTGTTGTGCGAAAGCCTGATGATGTCTGTGCTCGAAGATTACCTCTACTGCTCCCTACACTTGTTATGTCTTTCATTGGTTTGTACTTGATAAAACTAGTATTGGCTTCTTTTTCTTAGCACGATAACGATGTGCTTGTGATGTATTTATCGGATTCGGTGATTAGTGGTTTTTATCTGATTTTGCTTTCATCAAGTTGTTGCTCTCTGCGTGTATAATGCTGCCTTGGCCTCTAAATGCAAGATTTCTTCCTTTCGTGCTTTTACTGCTCTAGTAATCTTATATGAATTGTACAAAATTACTATTTACGTATGTAGCTCTATATATAGGGCGTATCTGTGGCATCACATTTTGACACAAGTCTTTAGCCATTCGATGCGAAGACTCAATGGCTTAGATGATAGTTGGCATGGATTTTTAATTTTGGAATTAAAATAAATGAAATGCTTGCTCCTCAATGCAAAGACTCTTAATTGCTTGTTCCTTCAGGCAAGTCGAGTGAAACCATATTTACCGGGAGGCTAATTTTGTCGCGGATGCCTTGGCCTACATTGGTCTTTCCTTGGAATCGCCACTTGTTTGGGATTACTGCTTACCTATTAGTGCCCTTCTTGCTTTTAACTTTTATTGTACTGGAAAAGGTTGTACTCGTGATTTTCGCTTTAATGCCAATTCTTTTTTTGAATTAAAAAAAAAGTATTTCAATCAAATCTCTCTCTCTCTCTCTCTCTCAGATTACACAAAAGAACCAAAGAAGAGCAAGTGAATTTTGGCCTTTCGAGGAACCCTATTTGGTTCAGTTTTTACACATAATGAACATTTTAAGGTTTTATGATTTTAGTATAAACAACCATAGCCCCCTGTGAAGTCTAGAATTATTATTTGGCTTCCCTTTTCAAATGCTATAATTGTACCACCATGCTCTAGTTAGATTTAGGGTTAAAATGCTACTTTAAGATCTTGCTATTGGAAATATCATTTCAAAAGCTTAACTTCTCACATCAAGGTTTGTTCATTCATATGCATTTCATGCTATTATTTCCAGTTCATTCTGTCTAGTGGTTCTGTCTTGTCAAAATTTCTCGCTACTTTCACGCAAGCTGGCACACACACTTTAAGACAACCCACATGAGTCATCTAACAGCTTTTTCCCGAAAATTGTTTTTCAACCCTAGATCTTTCCAGATTGATTTTGCACATGACATGTGGTTTTTCTGGTCCTTTTGTTGTCTGAACATCAATCCCTCTTTAACTCAATCTAGGGTTTCAATTCAACTTGGCTAGGAGATTTCATTTTCAGAAAAGAGTTGTTTTAGTTTTGAGCTGCCTCCTTGAGTTCCTCATCAAAAACCCTAGCCACAAAATCACACTCATGCACTAAACACCTAAATAGTTTCATATTAGGGTAACATTATTTTTGTGATTTTGATTTATGGTTTTGGTCAAGTTTTTCTAGTTTCAAATTTTTGAACTGACCCATTTTTAGATTCTCGTCAATTTCTTCCTTCAACTGTTTGAATGGAGTAACTGATTGGACATTTGAATCCAGATCTACAAATCATCATCATATCATCTATGCATAGTTTGTGTGTTGGTCTTGATGCCACAAGGTGAAGAGTTCAAGAAGAGTTGCCATCTTGTGAAGACTGGAGACAATACCATTTTGGTGCCACAAGGTGAAGAGCTCAGGAAAAGCTGCCACTTCATGAAGACCAAAGAAATCCTTCTCGTGTAAGGCAAGTTTGCACAAAGGTAAGGTTGCTCCGTGGACTAGGTCTAAGAATTAAGCTTGGCGTGGTACTTTGTAAGAATCTTGTTTACACTAGTGGATTGGACTCAGTGAAGAGTCCCTGATTTTTTAACCCAGAGGTGGATTTTTTTGACCAAAAACTCCCTGTGCAGTTTATTGCTCGAGTTTACTTGTCTTACTTTTAGCTCGTGATATATGTTCGTCATTGCAAATAGTAAGTCAATGCAATTAAGCGTATCAGAGTTAAAATGTTCATTGAACTAGCCTTAGTTAACTAGGAACACTTCAATAAATTGAACTATAAATTGACTACTTCCCTGTTAGCAAACTAATATATTTGATCTTAGTTGATTGGTGTTGCTGACTAGTCAGACAAGCAGATATATGGATTTTTAATTCCAAGATATTCCGCTTGGTACCAATTTCACCCCCAACTATCATGAATTTTAGCTTTTTGTACAAATTATAAGTTAAAATAGAATTTTTAAGTTTTGTGATTTTATTATAAATTTCTGATATTACCAGTGTTCTTTTTTTTTTTTATAGTGGATTATAGAAGTATGGTAAAAATTCTTATTTCGCATTTTGGTTATAAAAAAAATAAAAAATAAAATAAAAATCAAATATCTCTCTCTCGTAAAGCTTCACGGAAATCGACTTTGTCAAGTCTCAATAATGTTAATAAACAATAACCAATTCCAAGACACTGTTAGCATAAACTTTAACAAAATAAAACCAATTTTAGAAACTATGAAAAGTGAAAACTGCAACAAAATAGCACAACTCAGTGACAATCTATCCTGCAAAACTTAAACATCATCACTCTCCGAATATTCTTGGTCATCATTTTCCACATATTAGCCCAAGTCTTCTTGTTCCTCATTCCTTGATAGATTACAAATAATTAAAAAAAAAAAAAATATTATACACAAATAGGTAACCTAACATTGAAAAATATCAATAAAAAAAAGTTAATTTGAGTTACATTCTTTAGTTGATTCGATCTTTCTTCTTTTTAGATTTGATGGGCAATTTCTTGTATCATGTCGTACTAACTTATTGCATGAACGACATTTTCTTTTCTTCTTTTGTTGAGCCCACTCAATACCACATTTCATCATTTTCGAACTGCTAACATTGTCCTTTTTACCTGTTTGTGAGATATTTGGGTCCAAAAGTAGCAGTAGAGAGTCACCTTTTGTAGAGGAAGCAACATTTCTGTCGTGACAAGAATTTTCTGCCAGCTTTCTTTTCAAACTACTAATATTATCTGTCACGCCCCAGGCCTGAAAATATTAATTTCGGGAAATGATATTGGTGACGGCCCAAAAACTTTGCTTTATTTCGCGAAATTTTAAATCACAATTCTTATTTAGATTCCTTAACTCCCTCTCAATAAACATAAACATAAACATAATTTATTTACAAGGCATGTGCCTAGGCTTTTTATTAAGTCAAAATTTACTTCTAATAACTCAACTCCTTGACATAAATTAATTCTTGATTATTTAATCTTACTTGTTTTATGGCTACATCTAACATCTCGTTAGACTGCTTACGTATCCTAGACAGCGATCAAGCCATTCGTAGTTCACAATTCATTATTTACCAATTTCCAAATGTATTCTAGTAACCACCATATTCAACACTAATCTTCATAATCCAATTCATATCACATGGTTACCAATTATAGATTCAGAATATCGAAATTTACATGAAAAATGGCAACGTCGGCTCCTTGGCCATGCGTCGCCGCACCTGCTGCCACCAGTGGCGGCCGGCCACCCCGGCTCGCTGGAAGATTCAGCTATTACTAAAAATTCTCAAAAATTACAGAAATGAAGATCTCAAAGAGTTGAGCAAACGTTATACTTGAGGCCAAGTCCAATTTGGCTTGTAAAGGCTCCAATTTGCCTTGAACCCGTCGGAAACCCTATAAATGGGTGGCCTCAAAACGTCACCTCCGGTGCTCTGCCACCCCTACCATTGTTTGGGCTTTGTTCCAGACTTCAAAGGGAGTCTAATGGTGGTGGAGATGGATGTAGTTTGCTTCAAATTTAGTTTATTCGAACACACACCCGCCACACCCCACCGTGCAGTTTCTCTCGATTTAAATTCCAAATCCCTATATTTTTGGGATGTAATAGGAAGACGGAAGGTCGTGGAGGGGTTTCCAAGTGGTTGTTTGATATAATTCACCGAAACAAGGGGTGAAAACCCGTCAGAAACATGTATGGGCGCCGATCGGGTCGAGTCACCAAGACCTGGGTCCCGATCCTCTGTTTCTTTTTTCTCTCATTTCTCCTCCCGATTCTCTCTCCCCATTAGTCACCCTCTCCCCCTCTTTTTGTCAGCCACTCTCGTGGCATATTTCTACCACAACATTGTCATATTCCGGGCTCGACTCCACCGTAGCACGATATTGTCAGCTTTAGGCCCCTACCACACCCTCACGGTTTTGTTTTTGGGAACTCACACGAGAACTTCCTAGTGGGTCACCCATCCTAGGATTGTTCTCGCGCAAACTCGCTTAACTTCGGAGTTCCTATGGAACTCGAAGCTAGTGAGCTCCCAAAAGGCCTCGTGCTAAGTAGAGATGAGAATATACATATAAGGCTTACAAGATCCACTTCCATGGGCGATGTGGGATGTTACAATCCACCCCCTTTGGGGCCTGACGCCCTCGTCAGCACACTCCGGCCAGGGATTGGCTTTGATACCAAATTGTCACATCCTGGCCCGGGCCCCCACCACATCCTAGGCTCGACTCCACCTTAGCATGATATTGTTCGCTTGGGGCCCTTACCACACCCTCACGGTTTTGTTTCTGGAAACTTACACGAGAACTTCCCAGTGGGTCACCCACCTTGGGATTGCTCTCGCGCGAACTCGCTTAACTTCAGATTTCCTAAGGAACCCAAAGCGTGTAAGCTCCCAAAATACCTCGTGCTAGGTAGAGATGAGAATATACATGTAAGGCTTACAGGATCCACTCCCCTAGACGATGTGGGATGTTACAACACCCCAAAGTCTAGAATTTTCCAAATCATGGTTAAATGACTATTTTGCCCTTACATTTGTTCTCTTCTATTTTATTCATTATAATTTCGTTGACGAACGGTTTTCGCCTGCACACTCATAGAATTGAATTCTATCAAATTATGCTAAGAACTACGACAAGATATATGAGAATAAAATACATCCTCGTATATCTACGTTATACCACTAGGGCATTTTTTTCTTTTCCCACGTACCGATAAAATTTACTAATGTAAATTATAATAATTTCTAGAAATAAAACTTTAAAATTCCCAATTCTATTTTCATAACCATAAATTGATATATTTTCGATTTTTCTCCACATATTCATAATTATATTATCTAATTTATATCTTTAAATTTTCAGGGTATTACATTATCCTTCTTTCTACCCTTAGTTTGTGAGATAATTGGGTCCAACAGTACTAGTAGTCTGGTACAGAAGAATCAATATTAGTACATGTGTCACATTTTGTTGAAGAACCAATGGTTGCATCTTGACAAGAATATTACGATGGATTTTTGGATAGTTTCTAGCCCCTCTTCCATTGAGTAAAAAAAACATCCTACATATAGAGTTTTCAAGTCGAAAACCATGTGACGGATTAATGATAGTCATTTTAATGTTTCTTTGAAAAAAAAACGTATCCGTCCATTATCTTTACTACAATTGAATATCTTAATGGTTTTAGACTTGTCTAATTTTTTGAATAGATGATTTATGAATGATACATAGACACTTCAAATAAGGTATCGATATATGTATATATGTATGTATGTGTGTGTACACACACATATACATACACACGGGCCTTAACGAAAAGGCACAATATATATATAGCCTTAACGAAAAGGCACAAAATAATGGGAATACTTATGGGGCATTCTACATTGTTTTGTAACTGTCCACACGATCTATGTTTTTCCATTTATGGATTTTCCTAATTGAAAAATGAGCTCACACTGAGTCTTTTTAGCTAGGGGTGGGTTCAAAAATTTGAATACCGAAAAAAAACCAAGACCGAACACCAAACTGAAACCGAAAAACCAAAAACCAAAAATCGAAAATAAAACCAAACTGAAAAAGGAAAAACCGAATCGAACTGAACTTTATTGGTGTGGTTTCGATTTGGAGGTTTGGAAACCGAACCAAACCGAACCGAATCCCTTTACTTAATGAATGTATGCCCATAATGTATTTTTTGTGAAACTTTGTTGCCAAGTTTGAAACAAAGCCTCAGGCATTTTGAAGGAGCATACTTGATTTGACTAGGGAGGATATTTCATTGGTTATAGAGGAAAGTTATATAAGGCTTTGGAACTTGGAAGAGCTTCTCTGTGTGTTTGTTTTTGAAAGGGATATGGTCATCATTTTTCTTTGCAATTGAGGTTGTTGATATAATAGAATTGGTTTATATGATCTTTATATGTAGAACTACCTTCCCACTTTCCCACTTTCCCCATTTTCTTATTATTAATTTACCAATACAAGCCTCGTTTCCAAATTCCATATTAAAAAAAAAAAGATCAAGTTTTATAAATAAATAAAAAAAAATTGAAACCAAAATCGAAAAACCGGACCAAAAAAATCGAAAGAAAATCGAACCGAATAGAAGTTTTGGCTCGATTTCGATTTTGACAAAACCAAACAACAATTAGATGTCTCAATCATTTACGAATTGGCTAACAATTTAAATGATTAATGAACTAAAACTTGAAAAATAGACAGTTTGGTTATTATATAGGGGTGTAATATCCACAAACCTCTTTTTACTTCTCACACATCCTTCTAATTTTCAATCATCAAATCAAATAAATTGAAAAAAATAAAAAAATTTACAAAGAGCCCGTGAGAAGTACAAAAAAGTACGTGCATAGCACACCCCATTATATATTTTGTATTTTTTTTTACTTCCTTGCCTTCGTCTTGTGACTTCTGTCCGCTCATCAACTTTCACCCCTTTCCACTTCTTCATTCCTTAAACTGGACTAATCCATCATTATCTATCCCATCCAAATGTAGCGCACATTGTGATCGCAGTAAACCAAGAATACAAAACTTACCATAAAATAAGAGCTTCCTTGTCCCATTTCTTGAGCTCTTTGAACTTGCAAAAATTAGACAACTTATCTAAATAGCTAAAGCAAGGGAAATAAACCAAGCCCAAGATAATCGATCCTCGGAGGCGGTAGGCTCTACTACTATTGACGGCATTACGCTCATGCAGTAATCCACAATTCGTTGTAACATCACGCCTCGAGCATCTCACTTCCGTTAGTTTCTTAAAAATGAACTTCGTTTAATCCTCTGAACTTTGTAATGGATGATACTTTTTATACTACAAACTAAACAAATTTTATGACAACGTGCGGTATGATATTAAATATCAAACTGCCTCAAGTTCTGCCTAGCCTTGCACCCCAATAAGCAGACACCGGAGGAGTGCTGTACGGTCTACAAAATACAAACGATCCAGTCGGGAGAAAAGAAAAGCTTCATCTCAAGATGCTTCCTGATATGCTGGTTATAAGACTTTCCGACTTTGCACCAAATCACACCTTTTTGATAATCTGAACAACATCTTCGTCTTCAAGCAGATGTTCCTGTTGTGTCAATGCAGCAAATTTGCATCTTATTTAACAGTCAACGTCCATTAATAGAAATAAATCAAGTAGTCGCTAGTCGAAGAGATGACCATGGTGTTGCATATATTTAATATTTTAACTAACCAACCTTGCCAACTCTTTGGGGCTTGTGCTTCGCGCTTGATCCCCAAACAAGAGCACTGCAAAATAGAAACCAAAGTTAACTTTAAATGAAACAATGAGCCATATAAAAGTGTCTGCGGAACACGTCTCAAGTATAGCAACCAGATTTAAATGGGAATAAACAAATGCCAGATTTTGAACCACTAAAGAAAGGAAAGAAACAGATTCTGAACTGCTATATATTTGAAGATGGATGAAAAATACTTCAATGTCCAAAAAGTAACATACCGCCACCAAATTAAAACTACAATGCAAACATAAATTCTGTGTCCACCTTAAAGCGTTAACTTCGCACGGAAGTTGACACAAGCACCTTTTTCCTTTCCCCAGAAGTTGGTGTTATCATTTTCAAATCAGAAAATGATGGAAGAACCTTTAATGTCCAGAAGTAACATACCATTTAGTGAAACTTCCAAAGAACGTGGAAGCCTATATTTACTTAAAGCTCTAATTTTGCACAGCTGTTTAGACAAGCGCCTAAAGAACCCTTCTCCGTTTTCAGAGTGCTTGATATCATTTAAAAAAACAATAAAACATTAAATGGTTCAAAATTAAGAAAATTTAAAATAGGTACTTACTACTTAAATTGTTTAATAAAATCTTTATGAATCCGTTCACAGAAATCCTCAACGGTCCTTGTCTTAGATGATAGGATCACAGGGTCTTCATAGTCTGGATTCATCCCCTTAGGTTTTGTATATATGCGAGTTAAATTAAGATACTCCCATATTTTCTCCAGCAAACCATCAAGGTTCCACTCCAGGTGAGCACTGCAGATCAGTCATGGAAAATTGCACAAGTTAACAAAACTACTAAACAATAATTTCTGAAATTATATGCCAGCCAAACTATACCAGAAAATGAAGAAAAGTTAAAAAGAAACAGAAGCATTAATATAATAACAAATCTTTCCAAGGAAAAACAAATCTAAACAATGATTCGTGGGCGCTACACAATCCAACTCCAACTGGATCAATGACTAGAAGCTGTGCACTATTATTGAAATTTATTCATTTTGCCATGCTTCGTGTAACTGCAAACTGTTTTAACACCGAGTCTGGTGTTTAATTAAGCATTATTCAGAATTACAATGTTTTTCATGTGCTTCAATTCCAATGTTTTATATATGCTTCAATTACAATGTTTTCCATAGAAACTCCTGATAACTGATGCATTGTAGAGCTGTCAAACATTGAAAGTGTCCTCTGCAAGCAATGTTTCGACACTAGGCCTATTCCTCTAACAGGCTTTAATATTTTTTACTGATGCATTGTAGAGTTCTCAAACATCGAAAATGTCCTCTGCCAGTAATGTTTCAAAATTACATTAGGCCTACTCCCCTAACAGGCTTTAATATTTTGAATTAGAGTTTCCAACGTATTATGTCTCAACAATAAACTGAAGTTCATGTTCTCTAAAGAGAGGTAGATGGAACATCCAAAAATTTCAAATAACCAAGATTTTGCAACAATAATCCAGTATGAAACTATAAACTATGGTATTTAATAAAAGATTACCTGACAGGACAGTAGTGAGGAAGTTTATCCAAAATCTCGAGCTCTTCAAGTGTAATCTGATCAATCTTGTTCACAACATAGATGCAAGGCATATATATCCTACTGCCTTCAATAACATCAATGAGATCATCGGCAGTTGCATCAAACCTAAGAGTGATATCAGCATTGTGAATTCTGTATTCACTGCATATTGCCTTCACAGTTTCAAGATCCAGATGTGTGTTTGTAACCGTTGAAGTGAAATTGATACCACCTTTATCTTTCTTCCGGAATGTAAGGTTAGGTGGTTCCTTGTTTAACCTGCTCACAAGAAGCATTTAGCTAACTATAACTATAAACTATCTAGGAAGAGAATGTACGAGCAAAGAGGCTAGACAATGTGAGAAAGACTACATGCACATACATCTAGATATACTCATACACACATAAAAAAAAATATTGTAAGCATTACCTGTGTACATAAGTGGACACTTGAATAAACTGTCACCAGCATGTAACTTATAGGTTTTGTCAACTAACTCACTAGGCATGGTGTTTGCAGCAAAACAATCCATATTTGATAAAAGGAAGGATTAATAGCCTCTGACGTTTACCAAAGGGGAAAAAAGCTTTGAAGAAGCATTATGAAAAAGGTTTCAAATCCATACAAGCCTTTACCAGCTAATTCAACAACGCATCATCCACAGAAATGTAGATCCCAGGAATATTTCAATCAAATTTTTATTTTTATATTAAAAAAATGTTGAATCAGTATCACGTGAAGGCTTGCGAAAACGTAGAGCAAAGGTACAACCAAATTTTGAAAATCCAGCAGATTCAAATTATGTAAATGAAAAGGAGAACTTCTGAAAGTTATGCATACTGACCAATGCATAAATGGCCTTAAGATCTGGTAAACTGAAGTAACTAAATAACAAAGCTATAGCGATCAGAAACAAAGCTATAGCTGACCTTATGCCAAATCCCTCGAGCTCTTTTTCAATTAGACGCTTGTGAGTTATTGGCTTTATTGCATCAAGAACAATTAAAATGCAATTGCATGTCCTAGCAGTGCTGATAACCTGGATGCCATGAAAGTTCAACAAGTGAATCTAAAAGCATATAACGAACACCCATGCACAGAGAAAAAGGGGAAGAAGAACAACTCATTTTCTGTATTCCAACAATCTCTGACATATCTCAAGCCTTCATTAGTGCGACATATCAAACAAATTATAACAACATTAATCACAGCCAAAAGGAAAATATACCTCAAGCATGTTTCACTACTAGAAAAAGTTCATAACATATAAGGAAAGTCCTTTTGAAAAAGTATGTTAGTCCAGATCCTTATAAACTACCCAAGATCATTTTTATGCAAACCTATCTTTCTGGAAGCCATTCCATACACTTACATGATCAAAAACCATCAGAACACTTCTAAATCCATGCAAGGGTGCAATATTGGTCATCTAATTATTCGAAAGTTGTTTGGTCTATCTAACAACATAATGTATAAATTTCTTGCAAGGAAAACATAGCTTCTTAGGGCAAGCGTCTATATTCATAGAAAACACCCTTGTTCAGGTCTAGTCCAGCGGCCTTGTAAATTATAGCCTACTTTGCATGGACATGGACAGGTTATTGAACCATATATACAAACTGCATGGTTTGGCTAGAAAACAGAAGACAATTATATGAGAGGCTTCTGACTAAAAAAAAAAATCATACTGATGTAAAATGAATATAATCCTTGCTCGGAAAAAGGACAGACAGAAGAGAAAGAAAACAGCAAGTTCAAACCAAAAACAAAAAAATAATAAGGGCCTGTTTGGTAACACACTTTTATTCTTTTTCTAATTTGTTTAATGGAAAAGTGACAGGGAAGAGGGGAGAAGGAGAGAAGAGGAGGAAGATGTGAAAGAAGTGAGGAAGGATGAAGGAAATACACAGGATGATGTTAAAGATAACGACTGAAGTTACAAAAGGTTTAAATGAGTCTTGGTTATCAAAAAGACAAAGGAGAAATGTTATTATACGGGTTCTATGATTTAACATCGGAATGCAGACATCAAAAACAAAAAAGAGTATAAGAAATAAGTGCACTTAAATAAATCAGCATGTTACGGTAGCACAACGAGAAACAAATATCACATTTTACCTGTCTTCCTCTACCCTTTCCATCCTTAGCACCCTCAATAATTCCAGGGAGATCTAACAACTGCAAATTGAAGTGCGACAATTAAAAAATATTTATTGTAAGGGAGCAAATGGATCGTAAATCTAGAACAGCTATTTTGAGTATATCAAAAACTTCTCTTTATTGGGAAAGAGCTTATAAAATACACACGCACAAACAAACAGACATACGTACAAGAATAGTGAACAAGAATTCCAAATCTAAAAAAACGCAAAACTGTAACCACCAACTAAATTATAAAAATTCCAATTATATTAGCAAATGTAACAAATAAAGCAAAATATTATAGTACCTGAATTTTCGCACCTCGATACACGATCACTCCTGGTATGCAAGTTAAAGTAGTGAATTCATAGGAAGCAACCTGTACACAAACACATTAGGTGGTCTTCAAAAAATATCAAGAATTTTCTTAGCAATGATAGCATATATCTTAGTAGGCAGCCTACATTTTATTGCATGGCTGCACAACGAAGGAAAGAATAACAATAATAACATTCAGGTTTCACATAGCAAGCAATAATTTAGGTCTTATCACACACATAGACATTAGAAGCATCCAAGGGAATCTTGAAACCCCCAACCCCAAAGTTTTCATACAGAAGGTACAAATGGAATCAAGTTTCAAAAGGATTTCAATACAATCCTCCATTCCCAAACAGTTCCCTGGAGTTTCAGTGCAATATAAAGCCTGGAAGACATCAGACCAAAGAGAATATCAGGAACCTGTAAATGGGTGGGGCCCTAATATTGTGGTTGAGGCTCCAGATAGGATCAATTGTTTCTATCATTTCTGCATTAATATTAGGTTCTAGGAGGATTGATGATCCAAAAGTAACCAATTCATATAACTTCTACGCCATAATGGATTCAGGACTCTAAACTCTTAACACTGCCAATTTGTCTGTCGATCTCTGTTGACTCCTTTTCCAACCAGTAAGAACTTTCTTTTCCAGAGAAGTTTAAATAATCTGGAGGCATGGGAGCTGGCTCTCCATTCTCTTTGCTTGAAAATAGCTCCTTTCAACCGAATAAAGGTACACAAAATCAGTGAACAAGGAGGTCCACTGATAAAAAAGTACAACTGATGACAAGGGAAAAAAAAAACAACTAGAAGGAAAGAAGAATGTAAGATGTCTGACTTCTGATGTAACTGATGACCAGGGGGATGACAAAAACCTCACCCTCTCCCACGATGTTCTAGCTCTAGATTGGATTAGAGCTCATGACAAAGTCAATACTTGTGACATAGTCCAGAGGAGGCCTTATGTTTGCTTATCTTCCTATTGACTTTATTTAAAAGATTGAGGTTGCACTTGTTGACCACCTATTTTTTCATTGTTATACCACTTTAAAGCTTCAACAGAAATTGATTGTGTAACAGATGATTTCTATACTCTGCATTTCCATGCTTGTTGAGAAGCACTATGCTTTTGGAGAAGTGGAGAGAAAAATTCTTGGAGTTGTGGGCTGGCTACTTTTTGGGCAGTGTGAATGGAATGAAACTTGACTTTCGAAAAATCTAGGGGGGAGGAAGGTTATGGGGTAGGGTAGTGTCTTACTTTTTGGCATTTTTGTGCCTTCAGTTTCCTCTGAATCTTGGGATGTCATTTTTCCTTATCCATGTATACTCTAAGGCAGCTAAATATACACATTTACATATTAAAAACAAACTATAGGGTCACTTTTATATACACAAGTTAAGATGAAGGTCAGCAAAGCACAACGTTCCCACTGGACATAAATCATATATCTCATTCCACTACACAATCTCAGATCATCCTGTTCTAACAACATCAATCAGAGTAGAGCAAATTGTATGGTCCATGAGCCAAGTTGTGGAATAAATAGATCAAAGGTTGAAAGAGGGCTTATCACTATGATCAATTAGTTTTAGTGCAGACCTGAATTCCCCATTAAGTTAATCCATCTAAGAGAAGAAAATTCAGCTAATATTTTAAAAATAGCATCACTTAAAATAAACTTTCACACTTTTAATGACGAATTTCCACAGTATATAAGATCTCTATACAGACAGAAACCGGTTCTAAAGAATCTCTGGGAGACCAGGCAATGAGTCCCAGTAGACTGCACAGATTGTTAGAAGATCAAATTTGGCATAATATTGGAGACCCACATTTAAACATAATAAGTGATCTCGATCAAAATCTACATGCTTTCATGCCTAACATAATGAATCTCTGGGAAATAATTTTGTCTCTCTTCAAATAAAAAATTTATTTGCCTCGCATAGATCATGTGTAAAATGAGATAAATGGAGAGTTCTCTACCTCTGAAAAGGTCCCAGTTAATTTATTCAGCAGTGTAGATTTCCCAACTGAAGGGAAACCCACCAAACCAACTCTTGCATCTCCACTTTTAGTGACATCAAAACCTTCACCAGCACCACCACCGCCTTTTGACGGAGGCTCAAGTAGATCTCTCCTTAGCTTTGCAAGTTTAGCCTAGCAAAAGTTGATAGATCACTATTGTCAAAAAATTTGACCATGCACGGCAAAATATTGACGAACATTATGATGAAAAATAATATAACTCACCTTCAGCAAACCCAAGTGATGGGCAGTAGCTTTGTTCTTTTGAGTCCTAGCCATCTGCAATTAATAAGTAAAGAAATATTAAAATTCTAGTTACTACTCAAAGAATCTGACATATCCAGATTCCAGAAACACCACCTCCAAAACAATAAACGCATTTCAACGGCAAATTGAAAATACAAGAAATCAAATTTACCAAAATCTGGACCTATAACTATTCCAAAACTAAACTTTACATGTTAATCAATAATCATACAGGTCTACAAAAACAAGATAATAAATTAAATTTTCAAATTACGTTTTCTCTGATTGGAGAGAGTTGAGTTGGTAATGCAATAATAAAATTTTTACTTGACAAATTTTTGTTTCCTCTTCTAATTTACATTTTATTCAACTTTTTTTGTTAATTACTAGAAACCGAATAAAAGGAACTGCAAAAGAAAAAAAAAAAATATTGAAACCCTAAGCACCTAACAAGTGATAAGGCTATACATAAAGTATTCAATCTTCCCTAAATTAATGTGGGGTTTGTCATTGGCAGAGAAAGTAGAAGAGAGGGTATTGGGGTTGCAGGCAAAAGTACCTCATCTTCGATATCCTTGATTTTCTGCATCAGAGTCGCCATTGTTGAAGCACGCTAGCTCCGAAACAGAGGAAAGGTTTACTTGGCCTGTAATGGATTCTGCTCAAATGCTACTCCGCGCGCGCGATAGAGAGAGAGAGAGAGAGAGAGAGAGAGAGGGAGCAGAAGGTACCAGAAGTAAATAGGGTTAGGGCGCGTCCTAGTCGAACCCGTTTATGAATAATTTATTGAGTTCCCCATTTTACCCTCCAACTAGCCTTTCGCGCGGTCCACAAGAGAAATTACAAATCATGTGTGTGTCCATATACGCGACTTCCAAATTTTTGAGACAAAATTTCATGCATATGCTTGTGGGTTAGGAACTTCCAAATTTGAAGGAATTAGACATGCTGCGATCCTAAAAAACTAAATATAAGAGATTAGAAATTGCAACACATAAGCATGGTTATTCCTAAGGATGATTTTTTTTATCGAATTGGATAGGAGGTTTCTAATGCCAATCCCAAAAAATCGGAATCAAACTTTAGTACCAATGTTAGAATATTCAGCTTTTTTGAAATCAGTATTATCTCGAAGTTTCATAACATAATTCAGATTTCCTACATTTTGCAAGATCTTGGAAAATTTCAAATTATTATGTATTAACATTCAATATTTTTTTTTAAAATAAAAATAAAACATTGTTATGTATTTGTGTATACTTCTAATTAATCTATAGAGACAACTATGTTTGCATGCAATTACAAGTGTGTATGACATATAATCATATCAAACAAGATAAAATATGGATAGTTAGAGTTGATACAAAACTTGGCAACTTTCTATCTCCCTAAGGTTGGTAGCAGTCCTTTATTTCTGCTTTTCTTCCTTACCTTCTGCTACTAGTTTCCCCTACTATCATTTCCCACCAGTGTGTTCTGTCCACCCCACAAGCCGTTGGCCCTGCTCACCAATGTCCTCAGAACCATTCCTATCTTTTTTCTAATCCATGGTACCCTTCCATCTTCAAGGCCCTTCTCCATCCTTCTTAATCTTTTATGATTTGGCTCCATCCTTCATCAATATTATACCAACTTCGATTTGCAATCACTTTAAACCACAATATGTTGCGGTACATCAAGAAGGTGTGTAAAGTTTCGGAGTTTCACACCGGCTCGAGTGCTCGCACCATCTCCTTCTCTTGGTCTGCTTTCGTTGGTAGTGTCGCAAATGGGTTTCCCACTAGCTTCTTTGATTTTTTCTACTTTGTGGCTGCAATCGGAGAAGGTTTCTTTGATGGATGATGGAGTCTTTATTCCTTTCATCTCTAAGGCGTTGTTTAACCAGATTTATGGTGATCGATGAGGTCGATGGTTCGTGCTGATCGGAAGGTGATGCAGTGAAGGCTAGGGTTTTCTCTCTCTGTTGGTTTGTTTCTATTTGTGAGCCAATCTTTTGGTTAGGCTCTTGGTGTTTTGTTTTGCAGGCCCATGTTTTCTTTGTATATTTGTTTGGGGCATCTGCTGTGTAAATTTTGTTTTGTTGGCAATGAAGCTTTGTCTTTGTACCAAAAAAAAAAGTGATAATTTCACACACCCTTGTTATTTTTTTGCCATTGATCTTCTTCAAGTCATTTTATGCGAGAGCCAAAAATTGAGAGGGATGTGTGAGAAGTCAAAATGGGTGTATGGATAACACTTCTCTAAAATGGATAATGCTAGGGAGACCAAATTTTTTAAACCAAATTTGCAAACCAAATGATGTGGTTGTTGATGATTGGATTATTAGTTAAGCGTTGATTAACGTACTCATTTCTTGTCATTTCATTTGCAAATTTGGTTTAAAATTTTGGTCTTCATAGCATTACCCCCCCCCCCCAACCCCCCAAAAAAAATGTATGATTATACTCCTCATTGTTAATATATCTATGGGTGGTTTGGGTCGAGATCCTGAACTGAAACTCAACCCGAATCCCAAAATCAAACCAAACACCGATTCTCGAATTTTAGGATGCCTAAATTTTTTCATGATTTCGGGTCACTTCGTGATTAGGCCTTGATAATGTTGGGCTTTTTAAACTCTTTTGGATTTTTAAACTTTTTAAACTATTAGCCCACTTGTTTCATTAATTGGATAGCCCAGTCCATAGTATAAATAATAAGCTCAAGTTCATACCAAAATTGTACAAAACCAATTGCACAGCCCACCTGTTTCTAAGTTCCTATCAAAGTTCACAATCTCATAAGTTCATACGAAGCAAAATGTTAAGCTTAAGTTCATGGGACCAAAGTTCACAATCGTCTACCAAACTACTTAATTAAAAGTGCATGCAACCAAAATAAAATAAGTTAAGTTTTGCAAACCAAACTTCCAAATAAATTTAGATTACGTTACAAACCAAAAGCAAAACATGAATGCATACGATTGGCGTTGTTGAACTTGAGGTAGTGGAGGAGGTGGCATTTCACTTTTTGTTAATTCTCCTCACCTCCCAAATTAAGCAACCCTAAAACAAATTAAACGATAAACCACAATCTATTTAGAAAGTGAATGTATAAATAATGAATACTAAGAAAATAAAAACATGAAATCAAATACTTCATTTACTCTTCTCTAAGTCTTCAAGTTCCTTGTAGAATATGAGTTCATTGATTGTAAGCTCCTTGTAGAACATTTCATTCCCCTTAGCCAATCACTAGTGCACACTAAAACCTCAATCATTCTAGGTGTTAAGGAGCTTTGAAAGGATCTATAACTCTCCAACCAAGAATAAAGGCATTCTCACTAGCAACGGTGCTACTAGGAAGAGCAAAAACAGTCTTAGCTATCTTACTAAGAGTTGGATATGTTTCTGTTTGGGCCCAAAATATTATTGGGCCGAGCAGCAGGATGTGCTGGGCCCAAGGTCACAAATACTATGGGCCGAATAATGAAACTTGGGCCAGCTGGTAGGGTCGGCCAGATCCTATCCTCAGTAGTCCAGATGAATAGGAAAGGCCGAGGAAATCCTGGTATGACCAGGATTCTCGACCAGCGAGGAATAAAACCCCAAAAGGGAGGAAAATTCAGAATCCCAGTAGGAGTTGGATTGTCCGAGTTAGAGGTGAAATGGGACAAGGACTCCCAATCCGAGTCATAACGCGAATTGATCTCAAGGAATGGGGTGCAATAAATACAAGAAATCACGTAATAGAAAAGCCCCTTCAACTCAGCACACAATTGCCCAGCGCAAAACCTCTCAAACACCTTGAGATTTTTCCTTTTCTTTTCCTGCCAACACACCTTCAGTTTGGATAAACAGCACTGTGGAAGCACCCGGCGAGCATCTTCAGTTTGGATAAACAGCACTGCTGCCGCAGAATCAGCCGACCAAGGAGCACCTTCAGTTTGGATAAACAGCACTGCGTCGAGGTCGACCGATTATCTATCTAAGTCTCGGCCGAGAAGGGTTTTCAAGCCCTTGTTGGTAGAGGTCATCTTACTAAGCCTTCCCGGCATAGTAGGGTGTTACGAATTGCATTGCTCGGCGCATTGGACGCCGAGTGGTTTTATAATTGGATACTCGCAAGTAAGCTTCAGGGTTCGGCATTCCGACGGCCGAACTACGTTTACCATCAAGACATATATCACATTCGAGTACCTGTGCCCATATAGTTTGGTCTCGATTCGGCGTGCTTATACTCTTACGAATATAATCAGTGACCGAATCAGGCTCCGACGACTCGTGAACTCCGTGGAATTAGTAGCCTTGTCTTCAGGCTATAGGACCCAGAGACCGAGAGCGTTCCTTCCTCGGTCGCAATCGCAAGATATAGAAGTCAACAGCGCATTCAACGCGACAACATCAAATTTTACTCCTCGGCCGCGCTCGGCCGACGAGTTGGCACGCCCCGCATTCAACCGAAGGACGTAGTTAGCTCATTAATTACTCGGCCTGCGCGCCACGTAGGTTTTGTAATTTTTAGAGTCAACATTTTGGCACGCCCAGTGGGACATTTGTGCTAAACCTTCGAAGTTCATGACCGTTGAGACACGGTCTACCAAGAAGAAAACAACCATGGGAAAGTCAACAGCTGACTTACCAGTGCAAGGCCTTGGGCAGGATTCGCACCCAGCAAAAAATCCGATCATTGCCGCGCCGCCCGAGGCTACAAGTGTGACACGCTGAGAAAACGAAATCTGTCTCGGCGGGCAACCTCACAGCGCGGCAATCCCGAATCAAACGACAGGTATGTTCGTGGAAGGGATAGTGGAAGATTGCGATGACGATAGTGGAGAAGGCTCTGATCCACCAACTAGGTCGTTTCTCCGGAGATGACTTGATGAGCAGTATCGTTAGGTCGAGCAGTCGATTGGTCAAAGGATGAATGATTTGCTAGAAGCAATACGAAGTAACAATGGTACACAGACCAGAATGCTTGAACTATTAGTTAGTAAAGCCTTCGAAGATGGCCAGGTCGGCCAACCTCGGCAGCTCTCGACGAATGTTCCCATACCAGCCGAGAGAGGGTCTGCTCGGCCGCAACCAGTCACCTTAGAAAGAAGAGGATTAGGAAATAGATCCGAGGGACCAAGCCAGGGAGAAGAAGCCGCTTCTGTAAATATAACCGAAGTCCAGAGAATGATTGATTCGGCCCTGAAGAAAGGGCCGAAGTTTCCAAAATTTATTCATCCATACCCGGCTTATGTAGAAAGGTTTGAATACCCACGAGGATTTAAGATCCTTGATTTTAGCCTCTTCGCCGGAGAATCGTCTTTATCCTCATTGGAACATGTGGCTCGGTTCACAACGCAGTGTGGAGACGTCAATAGCGACTTCTACAAATTACGTTTGTTTAACTTTTCATTGACCGGCTCCGCTTTCGCCTGGTACATTAATCTTCCACCCAACTCTGTGCAGAGTTGGGAAGAGTTAGTCGAAAAGTTCCATGAACAATTCTATCGGCCAGGGATGGAGATGTCCGTATCATCCTTGGCCAGGATGGCTCAAGCGTCCGACGAATCTCCAATGGAGTACTTAACAAGGTTTAAGTCGGCCAGGAATTGGTGCCGAGTACCACTCCCCGAAGTGGAATTCGTCAGGATCGCTCTCAACGGATTAGACGTGGAGTACAAAAAGAAGTTCCTGGGGGCAAACATTCGCGATATGTACGAACTTGCTCAACACGTCGAACAGTATGA